AGTGAATCCTTTTATCCGCCTTGTGCAAGTAAAGCAAAAAAGGATCAAAACAAATATTCAAACTTACCACTATTAACCTCAACAATATCAACAATCAATCAAACCGCGAAGTAATAGCAAAATTAGTTTGTTTGATTTCTTGGCTTGATTCTAGAAAATCGCTATCACGATGCTAAGCATTTTTCCTGGCTCTATAGATGCTCAAAAATAAAGCGGACATATTACCTTTCTTGATTCTTTCCGCTCATTTGATATTCGCTGAGAAAATCATGATCATTGTCATGTGCCTAATTAGCGTAGTATTAATTTTTGTCACCAGATTTTCGTCACATGCTGAGATACAGTGCGCAATATATTGAATAAAATTTTTTGGCAATAGGTGCTGAATTATTGACGTTTGACGCAGTATCGAACTGACAATAAAAAAATCAAAATTTCTTTATTACAATATATTAAGCTATAAATATGAGGCAGTGCGGAATATTATAAAAATGAAGTGTACTGGTAATTGTGAAATCAGATACCTCATTTTTTTATCTCGTTGCTAATCTTCAGGATTCTTCATATAGTTTCAAAATTATTTCATTTCTGGGAAATTCACTTATCTTTCTATATAATTTATGTGGGTGGGAATGAAGATAAACGAAAATTATGTAGATATGTGTGGGAAAATTTATTTCAAAAATCTGGTGTAGAAAAAGAGTATAGGGAGAAGAATATTAGAAATGTTAGCAATAGAAACAAATTAATTATAGATATCTTTCGTAAATATGAGAGAGCAAAGAAATAACTTGATGCTGGGACTCACATTAAATGGCCTAGGATCTGCGTACTCCCTCCTTCTTTGATAGCATCATATATTTCACTTGTTTTTCTAACATTTTCTAATTCTAAAAAATCATTAATAAAGTGTTCTACTTCGCGCATTTGCGTAGAGAAGAATTGTGCACTAGTGATCAGTGTTCACTAAATCATCAACGTGTTATCATGTGATAATTACGTTTTATTAAATCGATCAGCTATATTCTTTTTTTGTTATAAACATAACTTGCTTTTCAGCTCATATCGAACAAAATGTACGAGTACTTTAATCGTAAGTCCTCTGAATGGTCTATTCAAGATTCTTGGATGAATGTGAATTAGAACCACTAAAAAAAAAGATTGATTATTATGTAAAGTGTTTTGAGATGATTGCGAAAGGTTGGGAAGGAAAAAGGAGTGAAACAGCACAAAAGCTATTCGATAGATATAGAAAGGCAAGTGTTAAGATTTTATTTTTGTTATAAAGTGGGAGAGAATTGGTGGCGTGGCGAAGACCTATTAGCTTCTCGTCATTCAAAACTACTAGTTGAGCCACGAAGCTGGTGTTGGGACACAGGCAACCTACTAGCTTGTCTGATGTTCAAGACTATTAGTCAACCTAACACTAGCCCCATTAGACATAGGCAACCTACTAGCTTGTCTATTATTCAAGACTATTAGTCAACTCAATGGAATGGAACAGAAAATCTGATGGAACTTAGTGTACTACTTGAATATATTGTTAATTTACAAATCTTCTATTCTAGGATGGTAAGTCAAATCGCAAAAAAAGCAAAAGAATGGGATGAAGAACGTATGCGTGAGCATAGATCTGCCTCCGTTCACGTTTACAATCCATCATTTGGGATTAGAAATATTAATGGTGGAACTAGAACTATTGAAGGTGGAACTTTCGCTAGATTGGCCATATCAAAGATTCCTCAGAAAAAGGTATATACTTGTATCTTTGTCTAAAATTTTAGAACCAAAAGAACTAATTTTTGCATTTAATGTTTTAGGATGAATATGATGAAAGTAACGAGATAGATGATTTCTTTAACAGTCCCTCTGAAAAAAAATCGTCCAATCAGTTTTTGTAAGAAATGGACAATTTAACTAAGAAATGGCGAAAATTAAGCAATGGACAAGGCATTTCCAACAAAGCGGACAATGAGAAAGATGAGGTACGGTTTTATATTGAAATAGATTATTCAGATATCATGATATTCTGTCATTCATAGCAATTAAAAGACTGAATAATTGCTAATCGGAGAGATTCTTTTCTAGGTTGAGGCTGAAGCACAAGACTTCACTTCTATATCTGAAGAGGATGATGATTCGTTTACTTCTGAGGATTATGATGATCCAGATTACATATAAAGGTAATTCTTTTGGTTGAAATTTCTTTGATTTTTTTTCTTAGACTTACAATCCACTTCCATTTGTAATACAAGCGATATCAAAGGTCAAAATTCTCAACCATTGTTAATATCATCACAGCTTGAAAATTTTCTGGAATCCTACAAAAAAATGAATGTAGCTCATAAATGGGTTCTCTCTTCTAGGAAGTGTGTTGAGGACACTTTTTTAAACATTGTGAGCAACTGCTAGTTGAATCACTTCTATATTCATGGGTTATTGATCTTGATGATCGGGAAGTGGAGTCATTATTTACAACCGAAGAATGGAATGAAATTCAGCGTGCAGTCAAAAAATTGCTAGAGGTTGATTGTGCCTTTGCAAATTCTATAATGCGATTTTCAGATGTAAGTTGAGGATAATTAGCTTTTTTTTCAATTTTCTAAAATCCGATATATTGCCAATTTTAGGTTAACACAATAAGCGATCTGAGACGAATCTTAAAAACAACATCCTTTTTAAATAAGGATGAACCTTATGATCGGTTAAAACATTACGATGCTAAATGGGCCAAAATCGTGATGAGGAAGTTGTGAGGATTTGCCTCTTTATCGGCGATATTGTTACAAAGATTTAATGACATATATTCCATTTACTACAAGTCTTACGTATTATGAAGACCCTAATAAAATACTGCAAAAGCAACATCTCGAAGCCTGGTATGATATAAATGTGTGATCACTTATCATCGATCATAGTCTCAGTGATATGATTGAAATAGAAACTGTAAGGTGTAGTCTCCTTGATTGTCATAATTATTTAGTTACATTTTTTAACTTTATGACTTATTTTTTCACAGAAAAGAATCATCAAGTATAGCGGTAGCCACGAGGAAAAACAGAAAGAGAGTATGTATGCGTTGCAAAAAGCCAGAACATAGAAAAATGGATTATCGAATAGACAGAATATTTTGGATGTACATTGGTGACGTTGAGTATGGAGTAATTGAAGTGGGCAAGAAGTTTGATGAAACAAAATTATTGACTGACGGGTTTAAACTGGTGAAGGCCATGCACAATATCTTCGTATGCCTAAGTAAAGAAGCCCATTTCGAAGAAACGAAAGTAAGGCAACTTCAAGTCGCTGACATGCTTCACATAGGTAAGTAAATAAATGAATCTACAGTTTTTAATATTTTGTCAAAATAACTGATTTAATTTGAGTAGGCCTCAAATTGCAAGTCTTACGAATGAGTAGTCCCAAAGGGTATGTGACAATATTAAAATGAGAGAAACTCCTTGATGTGCTGGCTACAGTTAAAAGAATAAAGAATCTTATCAGGGTGTTGGCTAATGTGTGGAAAATGAAGGTACAGTAGCGGTCATAAGTATCCGACCGCCTGAGATCGTCTAAAATTATTATATAACTACCCCTTAAATTTTCCAGAAATATAATATAACACAATACATGATCA